CTAGGGGGAGATCTACAACCGATTCAAATAATCGTCACCGTCGGTAGCCGTGAGCGTAACTTGGGTCGCCAGGTTCGTAGCGCAGCGCGCTAACCGCTGCACCACCGCGCCCCTGTAACATTGGATTGACGTCAACAACGACGACCACACACACAAAGAGACACAAACCCCATCACAATAAAACATTCGGTTGAGCGATTAATGTACAGGATATAAATTCCGGTTCTGAGAATTAGAAATAGTGGTTTGAGACCATGGCAAACTGAATGCAAAAGCGTAAACCCTCACTGTGCACAGATCAAGGGGCTCCGACTCAAAGGGAAGTCTTGCCAAAAACATCCTCTGCAAACACTCTCACTCAGGCAGGCGCATTGCACCGACAGATCTCCGCGTTTCTCCCGACACGATTTCGACATAGCACATTTGGGATTTATGGATGTACGTAGTTAGCCAATCGCGCTGATCGGGATAAGTTTGGAACAAAGACCTAAATACATATACATCTATCAACATATTCACATATCTATATAACTGGGGAAAAATACACTACAGGTGCATATAAACTACATTTACTCTGAGCTACTGCATTTAATTATTGCTCGGAGCGTGTGAAATGCTCGTATTACCATTGCCATTGAAAACAGCCTGTTCCTTATGTCAACAAATACATCGTTTTGCATAAGAGCTTGGGGCAGAGCAGCCAATTAGTGTAGACTGCACACACACACACACATATATACATTCATTGCTGATCCATAAACCAACGAAATAGCCACCACACAAAAAAGGCGTCGTTGGACATTTGGCAACAAGCAATGGTGCATTGAGGGATAATAACGGTAAAAAGGATAAAAGCGGCTGTACAATGCCACAATTTAAAGAAACCCCGTCTGCTGGCATCACAGCCAAGATTTGGCAAACTACCTTCAATTGTTCGATGTACGAATTCTATCATTTTGGAGATCAGCTACGAAGGATCCCTCCCCCACTGAGGTTGATGGCAACAGTTGATGGGTTCCGACAAATGGTATTCACAACGACCGTAAATGTACAATTACAGTTGTATCCAAACTGAAATGTGCGCAATTCGAATAGAAACGTGGTCAGTTTGACCTCTTAATAAGCTCATCTGTACAGAATCTGACATCCTTATTTGCCCATCCCTGTCGAATCTAAATACGCAGCAAAAAAAACATAACCCTACGTGCTATGATTGCAGGTTAATATCCTGTTTTTTTTAATCAACAAATTTGCATGATGTCACTTTTTTGACTGAAAGGTGTGATGAACACGAGGCGCTATTTGCGTCCGTAAGCATGTTTCCCTTCCAGGCACATTAGCAGCGGCACATGGACGCAGTGAACACAACACGCACGCAGCAGCAGCCGATTAGGCACAAACATTATGCAAATATAATTACAAAACAATAATTCCGCAATATTGGTCTCTTCATGATTGTAAGCTATCTCATCAAGTGACCCACACGCCCCCTATCAACCTGCATTTCATGACTGCGTGGTACTGAGTTGGTACATTTGAACAATGTCGTTTATAGGCATTGCTTATCATGTGGAGGTTTGTGGGAAAACACTGCCTGCAGCAGACCCACCCATACGGCGGAATATACTTAGCAATCCGCAAAGACAAGTTCACAAACCGGCTTACTGCACTGCCTTCTCCTGGCAAACTCGCAGTCCAGCGGGTTTGTGAGTTTCTCAAACGCGCGACATTAGCTGGCGCGGCTCACCACGTGCGAGGGCTCGACACCATTGACAATGCGGGTTGTTCAAAATCAGAAAAGAAAATACTCAAGGGGGCATCATCCTCATAACCTCTTATTTGTGGGAATTGTGGGCTAGACGGGCCGGCATCGCGCCCAGGAAATGGCTGCACGCGACTGCCCGCCGTTGTTGATAACGAGGCAAGGGCGATAGCGATCATTATTTGTTTTATCAGTGCGTCTACATCCTGGCTCCTTTCACTTTTTCTTCCTCTTCTCGTCAACACGAGGGCCCGTGGCCAATATTGCGGCCATTTTTGTGGGGTGTGCATTCCACGTTCAAGTCACTATGATCTGCATCTTTCTCTGCTCGGTCGATAGCGTATTACATTTTATTCAGAGAGCAAGGTGGTGTTTGTGAATGACGATAACGGTGCAGAAGAACTGTCACATGTGGTCACACGCCACTGCCAACACAGCCCCTGATATATGAATTCAAATCACGGCATTTTAATATATAATGTATGCACTGTGTGTGGTAGCTTGGGGAGCCTGTAGCATACATGACACAACTGTGGACGACCCAACAATGAATTTAAACCGAATTTTTTTATATTTTTAAATCGGCTTCTTCTACAACACAGACAAGACGAGTGCACGCTGTACAGGGTAGTCCACCACAATGTACGCGATGAAAAAATATTACATCAAATAATATACAAATGTAGCCCGGACTGATTTGTATGGCCAAACCGAGTAAAAGTGCGTACCATTATATACAACAAAAAACGTTTTCGCATAATACAGCTGTTAAGATGTTAAAAGTTAATTTCATTGGCAATTGTTATAACCATCAGTCTGTTATTCCTCTCTTTATTTATTGAAGCGAAGAGCCTTTTTAATAGGAGACTGGGCTGATATATTCAACATTTGGCTCACCTGCTTTCATTATCTACGTTATATAAAAAGGTTTCATTCAAATTTAAACCCCTTTGCCAAGTCACTTCTGGATGACGATCTCCCCCGTTCCGTTTAGAACATGGGGGTTGTTCGATCATGCCTCACCACGTTGACGAAGGGGTAACGGTGGGTAGCCGGTGGACCAGTTCAGCCATCGCTCGCCACCGATGTTAACCACGGCTGGGAGTCACACCGAGACGATCGGGATAGCGCAGAGCAAGAGCCACTGTGACGCTGCTCCAACCATAGTGAATAAATGGTGTATCAAATAAACGCAGTGGAATTATACAATCGGAAGCCGAGCTCAAAGTTTTGCTTGACCCCAAGAGACGTTGATAGACAAAGGGGAACGCTTCCTAAACGAAAAATGAAGCTGAATTATTTCTGTGAAATGTCACCACTGTTTGAAAGGGTACCACAGGTGAAATATGACTTTTTCAACTTTAATTGGTTCCTTGGTAACGGAATTCAAACTGTATTGCGCGGTGGACAGCACACTTACCACTTCACTCCGTCTGTTCACGGTTCAACTCCCGCCACTGACCGGTTATATCGTGGAGGATATTACCAAAAAAGCACAATGCATGCTCGAACAAAATTGTATTATTACTGTCAGTTTCAGACTAAATTGCTCATTCGGAAGATAAAATGAGCAGGAATAAGACGGTTTGAAAAGAAGGTGAAAATAACACTGACAATGCAACTGTGATTACTAAAAGCAAGTAAGAGCACTTGCCCTCATAGGAGAGGGGATCTTTGTTCACACATTTACATAGATATACACGCATGCACAAATTCACACGGGGTCAATTGGAGTCGATTCGGTCAATTAAATGAAAACTAAACTATTTATTTAACCAGGTAAGACTCACTGAGCTCTATAGTTATTTTCCAGAAGCGACCTGGCCACAGACTGCCTTCAGCCAACAAAGTGGCTTATCACGTGGAAATTTATAGCAGGCAAATATTCTAAATGCACGCTGATTCTAAAAGTCGTGGGAAAAACCAGAGGACCTGGGCATCAGTCAGGGCTCGAACTCACGACCTCCTGCATGCTGGGCGAGGGAGTTAACATCTCGACACCGCGGCGCCCAATTCATAGCGCTCTCCCCCCCACCCCCTACAATAATCTTAATATGAATCCGTCTCAAAGACACCTTGTGCTCGGATTTTGAACCACACTACACGGAGGCTTTCCAAACAATACGGCGGGGGGACCGAACACCTGTTATCTGGCCCGGCAATCAGCGTCAACTGCATGCGTAAATAAATAGAAGTTCCAGAAAAAGCGAGGCCACGCGAAAACGAGGGCTATTTATTAGCACAGCTCGTGTGAGCTGCCAGTCAAGGAAATAAAAACGCAGAGACACCCGACACCGCGTGCCCCCCCCCCCCCCCCCCCCCGTTCCACCAACTTAGCGAGTGGAAATTAAGGATTTCACTCCTGCTCGGCGAGCTCGTGGGATGAAGTGCGCTCGCACACACGCACGCACGCATCATCGGATTTGCTCGTTACGCCGCGCGATTCAGTTTTTTATGCAATAGCTCACGTGCACCAGTGCCACGCATTACTCTTCCTTTTTCAATTTCACAACGGGCCTCGCGACTTTACTCCGCTCGCACGGCCGAGCAAACATCACACGGACATTAGGGCGTGGAGAGAAGGGTTCACGTTTGGCAATTTACTCGAAAAGCTAATTGCTGGAAACACATGCACTGATTACGGGGGAGCAATTACCGGTAAGCCTATTACTTTTTGAATTAAACTTTCACAAGAAGAAAAATGCCAAGTTTTTATTTTACGACTAAATTACATCCTACGCTACAAAGTGCGTCTTTGTCCATTTTATTACGAGTGATACCATCTGCAGGTGAAATAATATGCTCTCACTTAACATTCCCACACATGTGAATGTTGCCATTTTTATTTTAACTAATTCTGGTTTTTTTTTTTAAAGAAAAAAATATGCCTCCCCCCCCCCTCCCCTTATTTTACCAGGCTACCACAACGGCACTTACAGCAAACGCAGTGTGTTTCAAACCGAATTCCTTCAGGGTTCACTCAGGACAGATGCTCACGTGAAGCAGACATAACAAGAATTGGCAATTGGCGCTGAAATTTGTTACCCGACGATGGCGGTGCTGCTGCGGGGCGGTCGCAGTCCACCGGGCGGAACGCCGTCAACCCGCTCTCGAGCAGCACCGACACTCCGGCTGCCTCGGCACACGCAGACGCCGCAGCGAGCGCCCGCGCCCGGCCGCCCTCTCTTGACAGCTTCTCTCTTCCCCCCCCCCTCCCTCGCCGTACGTGCGCCCGCAGATCTCCGGACGGTGCTGTAACAGAAACCCCCCCCGCCTCCTCCGCGGGGCGACGATGCGGCGCTGCTACGCGCCGCCGCTGCTGCTGGCGTGCGCCGCGCTGGCGGCCTGCCTGCCGGCGCCCGCACGCTGCTGCCCATCCGCGTGCCGCTGCGACCGCGGCTTCGTCTACTGCAACGAGCGCAACCTGACGGCCGTGCCCACCGCCGACATCCCCGCCGACGCCACCGTCCTCTACCTGCAGAACAACCGCGTAGGCAGCGGCGGGGTGCCTGCGGGCACACGCGCCCTCCTCTCCGTCACAGTCGTCTACCTCTTTGGCAACCGCCTCGACGATTTCCCGCACCACCTGCCGAGCAGTGTGCGCGAGCTCCACCTGCAGGAGAACAACATCCGCACGGTGTCGCGCCAGGCGCTGGCGAGCGTTCCCGCCCTCGAGAAGCTCCACCTCGACGACAACGCCATTGCCTCGGCGGGCATCGAGGCGGGCGCCTTCCGCCACCTGGGCGCTCTCAAGCTGCTCTTCTTCTCGCGCAACCACTTGAGCTCGGTGCCCAACGAGCTGCCCGCCGGCCTGGAGGAGCTGCGCCTGGAGGACAACCGCATCGCCTCCGTGTCCGCCCGAGCATTCCGCTCCATGACCAAGCTCAGGTTCCTGAACCTCGACGGGAACCTCATAGCCGACGACGGCGTGGAGAGCGGCGCCTTCCGGGAGCTCGACGAGCTGACGGAGCTTTCGCTGTCCAAGAACTCCCTGCAGGCGCCACCGCCGCAGCTGCCCGGGACGAGCCTGCGCAAGCTGCTCTTGCACGACAACCAGATAGAGCGCGTGCCGGTCACGGCGTTCGCGCGGCTCGGCAAGCTCGCCCACCTCGACCTGTCGCACAACCAGCTGAGCCGCCTGGCGCCGGGCACCTTCGACGGCCTCGAAGCGGTGCGGCATCTCAACCTCAGGAACAACCCGTGGCGGTGCGACTGCGGCCTCGCCTGGCTGAGGGCCTGGCTAGTGAGGAACAACGTGGCGGCGCGCGGCACCGTGTGCGGAGGCCCCGGCGGCGTCAGGGGCAAAGCCATCAAGGATCTGGAGCCCGGGGATTTTGCGTGTTCGGGACAGACGCCGACCGCGTCGGCCGACGGCGATCCTTCGAACGCGTCCACGAAGAGGTGGCACCACCTGGCAACCGCCAGGCCGGAGAGATTTCCGCCCACGGAGTTTCCCGGCAAGGGGCTCGCCACCGCCAGGCCGGCGGCGTCCACCGCGGTGGCGCCCGACGAGCCAAGGGACCTCGACATCGCCCTCAAAGCCACGTCCCTGAGCAAGGACATCGTCGAGGTCAAGTGGCACGATGCCGTGTCCGTGTCGGCGTACAAGCTGAGCTGGGTGCTGGAGGGGCGAGGGCCCGGCGGGGCCACGGGGGGGGCGACCAAAACAGTGATCCTGTCCGGGGACGTGCGCCTGCACCTGCTCACCGACTTGGTGCCCCTGGCGAGCTACCGCGTCTGCCTGGAGCCGATCGACACGGGCAATGGCGAGCGGCAGTACGCCGCCAACGACGGCGCCGTGTGCACCGTCGCCACGGCAGGCGGGCCCGAGTCGCGCAACGCCAAGGTCACGTCCGGCGGCGGCGGCGGCGACGCGGCCGGCGCCGGAGGGGAGGCGCCCTTCCCGACGGCGGCGATCGTCGGCGGCTCCGTCGCCTTCCTGGTCGCGGCCGTGCTGCTGGGCAGCTTCTGCTGGTACTCGCACAAGACGGGCAAGTACCTGGTGTCGCGGTGGGCATTCATCCGCTCGCGGCAAAAAGAGGGGGACTACGTCGAGTCGGGCACCAAGAAGGACAACTCCATCCTGGAGATGAGCGAGAGCTCGTACCCGATGGGCGCGGGCAATGACCCGCTGTGTCCGGAGCCCTACGGCATCCACCCGGGCTACTCGGACTGGACCAGTAACATGTACAAGCTGCAGCCGGGACACGGGCCGCAGAACGTGCGCTACATCGAGGAGAGGTTGCTGGAAACTCACTTTATTCCCGTATGAGCGCGCGCCCATGCCCGGGCGGCCCCGCGACGTCCACGTGTGTCACGGCTATTTATAATAAAGACTACCTGAATATTTAAATGTATTTGCACTCGAGAGGTTTCACGCGTGGCCGCGATTGGAAACGCTTCGCGTTGGGGGAGGGGCGGGGGGGGGGGGGGGGGGGGCGGGGGGGGGGGGGGGGGGGGTCGCACGACAAAAAGCGCGGAACGCCAACGCGCGTTTTTTGCAGCCACGCCGCGCCGCGTGCTTTCACTTACCCGCAACGTCGTCCTGCGGGCATCGAAAGAGGGGCCACAGCGATGTCTGATACCAAAACAGCACCCTCCGATTTAGCGCAGTTGGCGACGTACGGTGCGCGAGAAGTTCAACGTACGTACATACATGAAAACATGTCAAGGCGAAGGCGCGGATACTGCCAATTACTGATAATTACTGCTCACGTACGCGAAACAATCACAATGCAGACAGGAATTAAAACGTTAAAATGTCTATTTCTGAAGTTGCAAAATCTATTCGCGAGAGAAATTGTATACATGTAGATAGTACTTTTTTTGAAAGCCCCCAACATTAATCATGTTTTACATCTGTAACCATACATTTAAGACCATTTTGAAAGGTTGGCAAGGAGTAGACAATCGCTTGGTTTTCCTGTTTGCAAAGTGAAGGCCTCATTTACACGTTCCACAAAACGTACCTTTCCACTAAAACTCCTATTACCACACTCCTATTACTATTCTAAAAACGGTTTCGCATTCATCCCCTGCGAGTTATTAACGCGAAGAGCGATTCCGAATGCCCGCAAGTGTTTACAGTTCATGTCGTTGGGACCTTTGCCCCCCCCCCCCCAAAATTTGTACTTCTACTCCGCCCCCCCTCCCCACCTCGCAAATTGCCTCATTAAATAAACCCCGAGGCAGTTTCTTCTCGCCGCAAAAAGGGGGCTTCGCTTTAACGACCCCTCCCGTCGAGTCCCCACAATCAGCACGCTTTTCTGTCATTCCACAGCGTTTGGAAATGTCTATACAACGATTATGTTGTTTTTTTTGCGGCTGATGCGATGGCAAAAAAAAAAGCGTTCCAAGGTGTTTTTGCTGCCGATGAGACCGAAGGCAAGGCGCAGCACCGCTCCGTCTTGGTTTCAAAGTGGACGACTCTGGCTGTCGCCTGATGATGCTGGCTGTTGCAATTACCGGCGGAACATCGTACTCGAATTCTAAATGCTGTGGGTTTACTCTCCAACACACACCGGTGTGTTGTACGAATAACGAATTGGCAAGTTTTGTTTACGTGACAAACCTTACTAATTGTCTGTAACGGGTGGTGGTGGGTTTAACGACACAGTTGCAATTTACGCGATCTAATCCAAAAACCTCTTATTGAAGGTCGTGTGACATCATTTGCAAAGAGAGAGGGGGGGGGCGTTTGCCTATTTGGTACAATGGCCCAAATTTTTTGCCCAAATTATTAAATACGGCTGCAATTTTCAGAATGGGAAGATGTTTCACCTCTGCAACGATAGGACAAAACCCCAGAGGCCCCGTCAACAAATCTCCAAAATAATAAAAACCACACGATATCAAACGCTCACAGCTTGAGTGGTTAGAATACTGTCTTTGTAACGACTGTAAAAATGTGCCATTCATTTTAATCGGCTGCCTAGTGGAACAACTGCCGTTTTTTTAAATGACTCTTGACAAGTAAGGACGGACAAACCGAAAGGCAACAACGGCTGAATGCATTGGAGGACGTAGGTTTCTGTTCCGTTATTTTATTTTTTTTGATCCACGGGGATAGAATAATGTAAAACATAACCCAAGTAAGCCACCATCCCCACCGATATAGAGGCAGATGGCCAAAATAGCAAAAATCACGCTAAACTCGCGAAATGTGTATGCCACGCGATGCAGCGGAGAGAGCAGGGCGGAACGTGCGAACGTTCGCCGGGCTTGCACAGCCATCAATCACAACGTGGCACTAATTTTATTCAGCCCCGGGGGATGATGGGCAGCGTTGAGCCCCGAGCAGAACTTGAACCGGTAATTGTATTGATGTCGAGTGCCCTAACCTCGGTGCTGACAGTGGTCACCCTGTGGAGAGACAGGCCCCCACCACCGCAATGTGGACAACCCACATTTAAGGAAGTGACTGGTACCCCAACGTGTCTTAAGTGGGAAGACACTTGTCTTGACTTGACCACGGATGCACCGTACATTAAACCTGATTGGTCAATGTTTCATTGCTCAGCACAATCCCCGGATATTTTTTTCGTAACGACTTAGGACAGTGCAAGACAACATGAACGGGTGCTTCGGCAACACGGGGGGGAGGGTGGAGTTAAGACTAAAACTCAACTGAACAATTTTTTATTTTACCACCTAAGACTCACGGAGCTATTCGCTCTTTTTCAGAAGCTACCTGGCCACAAGTGATAGCTCAACGAACTGGATTATCACGTGGAAATTTACAGCAGCCAACTAGTCGAAACGGAGGTTTCTAAATGTGGAGTGAAAAACCGGAGGACCCGGAGAAAAATCCACGCGCCCACGGAAAGCTAGAACATACAAACTCCAAATATATAGGCGTCAGGGTCGGGCTTGAACCCACGAACGACCTCCTGTATACCAGGCGAGGTCGTTAACATCCCATCACCGTGGCGGCTATCGGTCGCTGGTGCTCAAAGCACGAAACGAGGTCACGAATCACACCAACTTGCTCGTAAAATTCACCCCATTGAGCCCAGTTACCACGCACCCTCCCGCCTGCCTGCCACATTTAGGCCGAAATGCAGTCCCACGGGCGTAACTTAACACCGGCGCTGGATTTACACGCTTATCCTTATCATTAGGCTTTGGGGGGGGGGGGGGGGAGGACAAGAAAAAGATGTAAACACGCTCACTCCGATTGTTGATCGCAGCACGAGGATTTGTGAGAGTAAAATAAGCGGCTCGCCACGTGTGAGCTTGCACAAGCAACCACCAGCACCCACCACCATCAGACTTCACCGACACCCACGACGGACGTTCGTCCACGTTCGCATCGACAAGCGGTAGAAAATGAAAATAAAAGGCGCATTTGTTCCGTGCTAAAAAAAGCCATAAATCCACAAGGGATCATGTGGATTCTGGGGCCAATTACCCAGAGTGTAAGTAAAGCCGCATTTATAGGGTCAAATTACGTTTCGCAGCTGGGGTCAAGAGCACATATATACTTGTAACAATGGGCTAAAGTGAATGTATTGTACCAGTTCACAGTTTTCGGGATTATCAGCACTGCATGACCACTGTGGCATGCCAATCCTGGAAAACGCCACAATCTGCGTGCAGACACGATTCACGTTTGGCTTTGCGAATCTCACAACCTCCCCGTGGGCGTCACGTCTCTCTTTGCGTGCATGCGCTCTAACTTTGACCGCATTCCCACAAGCACGGCTGGATCCGTTAAGAACAGCTGCTATCCAATACGCGTTCTAAATAGTGAAACTTGAACCTACCGAGAAGAAGCATTCAGGCTCGCGAACAAACTAACCGCGCGCAATTCAAATGACCACAGCTCGTTTTACACGCGCTCACATGTAGATGAAATGCTGGTCTCTGTAGAAAAAAAACGACAACAGCCAATTTCAAACTACAGTCGAATTAAGGCTACCCCGGCATAATGCTACCGCACAAAATTACCACTGGCCATTGTCAGCCACTCTCTATTCACAGCTAGACAAAGGCATCCCATTGCAGATGCCAACACTACAACAATCCCGCTCTGGTTGCCACCATTCTGTCTCGTAATTTCTTCATCCCCTCGTGCAGCTTCGTACGCGGTTGGTCTTTCCTTGTCCGTTTAAGGCTTCGGCCCCGAATGGCGGACGAGGCAGGAGAGCGTTCTCCGGCGTTGCGAGCGGCATCCCCGCGGACGGCAAGCGCTGTGCGCGGCGTCCTCGCTTGCCGCCACCGCCGCCGCCGCCGGGAGCGATCGAAACCCAAAACGAACTCTCCAGGCGCTGTGTCGCTATCGTGTGGCGGGGGGGGGGGGGGGGGGCGTACCGTGCGCGGCTTTCTGAACCGACGCGTTTTTTTCGGGGTCGTACGTCGCAAAATGTTTATCCGCCAGTTTTTGGTCCACGTGCCGGGGGAGCTTCTTGTCCTCCACGAGAAGCTCCTGCCGGCAGGTGGAGTGAACCGACGGACGTCGCGCCAAACTATGCACGGAGCAACCCCTGGAAAACGCAACTCGATTGTTTCACCGATTTATGTTCCAAATTTTTTTTTTTTATCCTTGGAGCAAACGTGGCCAACGTTACAGCCCTTTCGGTTTTTTTTGGGTGTCGATGCGCAACACGCGCACATTTGTCGGGAACAAACTCCGTGGTGCCGAGGCAGCCGCTGCTGCGAAGCATTTAAGAGGACAAATGCCACGTTGACACGCGATGTACATACTGTGCATAGTGTATTTAAAAGATATATCCGATAACGGTTTAAACATTGAAAGCCATTTTCGCCTTCGGAGAGAAAAATGACGATGCCAAAATTCCAAGAGAAGCCAACTCGTAATCTAATTCGCTGCCGCCGCGTCACACCTTGTCCGAGCGTTGGGGGCACGCGGGGGGCACTCTGCCAAACTGCAACGCTTTCACATCGCCGACCGAGTTGAGAATAAAGTTTAAGAAAAAAGGAAAAGATGGTAAACATAACGTGGAGTGAGGAGATCCGTTGAAATGACTCAAATCAAAGGCTAATTCCTCTTCCCTGCCTGGGAACTCACAGCACAAAGCATTCCCTAACTTTTTGTACTCCCATGTTCATTTGGTGACGTGTTCTGCTTTACACGTTGTGTTTATGCATTAAATGACGTGTGTTCAGAATTAGTACACATCCGTGCTTGATGCCATGGCCAGTGTAGCAACGGTATTCTAAAGCGACGGTTGTTGGGATCATCTTGGTTTGCTCATTTTAAAAAGAATAAAAAAATACTTTTTCAAAAAGGCTGCTTGTCGATCTCACTTTCTGTTCGTCAACGCATTTATAATTATAATTTGACGTTGAAAATGTCCGTTTCAGTGTTTGTGGTTAGCGCACTGCGCAACGAATCCGACGACCCGAGTTCGATTCCGGCTCAGCCAACACAAGTGAGACGATTATCGGAACTGGCCCTGGGCCTC